TAGACTTTGGGGTGGGGCAAAAATGGCAGCATAGAAAGAAGTTAGGAGGCCACTGCAATAATCCAGGTGAGAAATGATAGAGGCTTGGTCTAGGCTGGTAGCAAGGGAGTTGGTAAGAGGTGGTCAGGTTTCAAATATATCATGACGGCATAGCTGCAGGGTTTATGAATGCATTACATGCTGGCTGTGAGGGAAAGAGGAATCAAGGATGACTCCAATGTTTTAGGCCCAAGGAACCAGAAAAACAGAGCTGCCACCTGCTGAGAGAAAGGAGAACATGAGAGAAGTAGGTTTAGAGAAGGGGCATATCAGAGTCTCATCTATCCAGAATGTTGGCAAAGGGAACAGTATTTTAGTTTTAGAATCTTTAAAAGGATATGACTCCCATATTAATAATTTCAATTCTATGTTAGTGCTGCCTCCTTCACTCAATAATTATTATACTCAGTCACTCATCCATTCATTCCTTTATTCAACAAATGTTTATTGAGTGTCCACTCTGTGTCAAACAATGTGCTAAGTCTTCGGACATGCAGTGAGCAAGAGATACTTGATTCCTTTCCTTATAAAACTTACAATCTAGAGGGGGAAAATAGACAAATAATCATGCAGACACATCTGTACCTATATCTATAATAATGAAAGCATAATATGCTAATTAGAGCAGACATCCTTCTGTACAACTTTCTGGATGAAGCAAGGGCTGCAAGGGAAGCCCGGGTCCTGGGTGCCAGAGGGAAGCTGGTGCTGGCAGCCGGGGGAAGGAAGGCCTACTCTTTCATGCATTGGGCCTCTAATATAGTTTATAACCTTTAAACGAAGGAAGACAAAAAAAAACAAAAAATTTACCAAGAAATAAAGGTGTTGAAGAACTTAAGCAACTTGCTCATGGTTGCACAGCTGAGGAGATACAGGGTTGGAATATAAAAACAAGTTGTCTCCCTCCAGAGCCCAAATCTTACCTTAGTGGAGTGCTGGAATACCAGCCAGCATCATTCAGTAGAGACAGAACACAGCAGAGAAAGAGAATCAGAACTCAGTTCACAAGTCCTGCACAAAGGCTATAATATGACTGTCGCAGGACCTTTCTGGGGCTGGAGCTCCCTCATCTATTAGTATAAGATGATCTATAGAGAGAGGTCAGATGATCTCTAAAGACCCTTCTGGCTCTGCCATTATGATTCTATGGTGGATATAGGTATCAAAACGTAGGAAAGAAGATGCGGGGGCCACCCAATTCTAACTTCACTTATTTCACAGTTCTGCCTTGGCCTATGCCTGTGTGTGAGTCTGGGAATCCTCTGGTGCTCTATCCTGTGAAGGACCTAAAACGTAGCAGGTACAGTGAGAGTAGCCGGTAAATAGGTAGGACCCCTCTCAGAGATGGGGTCAGGGGGAGGGAGTAAGCCCAAGAGAATGAGAGAAATCCAAGGAAAGAAGATCCCTTAAATTGCCCCTATATATTTAGGTGCCCTAAGAGCACGAATGGGCAATATATGCAACTCTTTTGTACATTTGATCCCGGAAAATTTAGATCCTTCATCATTCTAGGCTACAGTTTTCTCATCTGCAAAAACGAGGCCAGATAATTTTAGATTGGTAATCTATGACCCCACCCTCCTATAACCTTAGCATTTCTGTACCCTAACTATACTAGTATGTCCAAAGTAAAGTTCTGTCCTCTAGAATGGATCCTTGTCAAATCTTCAAGATTCACCCAAACAGTCATTTGTCTAATGGTGCAATTCTGGTTATTCAAATCAAATATCCGTGACAAAAGAAGCACTTCCATTTTGGTTAAAGAATCCCAAAGTTTAGGTACCTCAATTAGTATTTATTTACATTTACTTATATAATATGATTTTTAATCACTATACATTGTCCACAAACATACTCTTCCTAGGACTCTGATAATGTCCCAAAACACCTGCAAAATGCCTAATCAAGGGAAATATGAGTTTTATTCTAGTTATTAATTACAAATTGCTTGTCAGTGTTGGTATCTTAATGAAATCAACTCTAGAAATGACATATTCAGATTTTAAATGCCTAATTAAATCATTTAAGTGAAATAATTTCATTTTGTAAATACAGAAAATGAGTTCTACAAAAATTCTAGAATGACTCCAAATCACATAGCACTGAGAAGAAAAACTAAATCCATGATGACTACCTATAAACTTTGGCTCAAATCACTGAATTATTATCACCAGTGGTAAATACTGATTTTAAAAATAAGTAGCTCTGTTGTCAGAAAAATATATGAAGCTTTAGCTTTCTAGTAAAAGTAATAAAAGTAAATTAATGGGGAAAAAGCTTTATCACTCACCTTGGAACTTACCACCTTCTACCTGAGTGCAATGGTAACTTGGGTTCCATTATTTAAACCAAAGACAGTCTTGCATATATGTGTTTAATATTTACTAGTAAAATCTATATGTAAATATTTTAATAGAGTTTAGTTATGTATGGTTAACTTAAACTTTAAAGTACAGGGGTAAAAATATGTGTACATTCAGTAGCAAAATATTATGAGCTGTTGGAAGAAACTATTTTGGTAATTCTAAAGTATATTTTTTTCACCAACTTGTTCCCCTGTCCTAGAAACATCCAATCACCATCTATTATCAATATATCCACAAGAGCATGGCATTACGACCTCTATATGGTAAATTAAGAGAGATCCTACTCTAAAAAGTTACCATTTAAATATCCACAGAGATTCATGAATTTCATAGAGATATGAGTTGGAAGCTGCTAATTTCCATTGTGAGAAAATGGAAAACGAAACGTGCCTGTTAAAGAATATATACTTTCAAATGTTTATGAGCTCTACCTTCTTTTCTTCCTTGCCCTCTCCAACTTCCTCTATTTCCTCCCCTTCCAACTCATTCTCTTTCTGGCCCTGGCCAGGTAGTTCAGTTGGGTTACAGCATTGTTCCCAAGGTTGTGGGTTCAATCCCAGCAGGGATCAAACAAGAATCAAGCAATGAAAGCATAAATAAATGGAACAAATCTCTCTCTCTCTCTCTCTCTCTCTCCCCTCCTCTCTCTCTAAAATAAAAAAAATTTAAAGTTACATTTCCATCTCTTTCTTCTTTACATGTTCCTCTAATATAGCATGATACCTTTCTTTAAGGTATTTTTCACTATGAATAATTCATCCATTTACCTACCAGACCTTATTGATGACCTACTATGTGCCTGACAGTGTTGACCACTAGACATCAAAAAGGAATAATAGTGCCCCTGCCTTCAGGGCCCCACAGTTAATGAGCTGGAAGTGAGTCACTGTGATAAAAAAAAAACAAAAACAAATAAACAAGAACAGGTAGTAGCTACCCTTCCCTGTAGGACATGTATTTTTCCCATCTTCTTTCCAGAATACTTGCTCTTCAAACTGTAAGCTCCCTGACCATATGTCAATTGTTTCTGTTAGCCCAGCATCTACCTAACACAACTATTTTCAACCTTTTTCATCTCATGGCACATATAAACTACTTATTAAAATTCTGTGGCAAACAAAAACCATGTTATATTTTTTGCCAATCTGACAAAAATAGGAATAACTTTGATTCACTCACTCTGAACGGCTGTTTTGTTGGCTGTTGTCATTTTTTTATTTGACAATCTAAGAGAAAAGAGGTCACTGCCCCTGACCAAATACTACTCAGGTATTGCGTGTTTTAAAAATTCTCTGGCACGAAGGTTGCAAATTGCTGATCTAACAATGCCTGGCACATATTAGGCCTCAGAAAGTGTTTTTGCAAGAAGAAATGAATAAATCTGACAAAATCAAACTGGGTAATTAGTATGCATCATGCATGACTAAAAAACAAACAAACCAACAATGAGATTTAATTACTAGTGGCTATCTCCCTCCTCCTCAAAGTGTACCCTTGATACCAGAAACTGAGTGGGAGTCCAGTTTCCTGGGTTTCCTAGGCACAGACAGTGCTACTCCGGAAGATGCCCTCGTGGCTTCCCGAATAACCTCATCACATCTAATACAGACTCGCTGAGAACTTCCCCAGGTGAGACCAACGTGGGCGCGTGGCAGGCGCCGCCCTCCCTGCACTCCGTTGGCTCTGCTCCTAGAAGGAGCGCAGCGTCTGTGAAGTTTTTTCCCCCCGTTAGAAGTTCGGTCAGTTAAAGAACAAAACCTCTTCGGGAGTCCGATTAAAGAAAAGGGCTCCAGGAGGAGCGGGACGTGCCCCGGAAACAAGTGAGCAGAATGCGTGCCGGGGGTCTCCCGAGCAAGCGGGACTCCTGCGGCCGGGCCTCCAGGAGCAGCACCGCGCCTCCGGGGAGCCTCCCGTCAGCCTGCGTCCCCGAGCGCTGTCGCCCTCAGAGCAGCCGCCCCATGACAAGAATTGGCCACCGAGGTTCCTGAGGCTCCCAGCAGCAACCGTGGCGACCCGAAGCGTCACACCCGCCTCCCCCTGGGACCGCAGTCTCCCGCGTCCGGGCTGGAGCGTCTCTAAGGACCCAAACCTCCCACTCGTAACCTTTGCCTCCGGACAACCCCACCCCAGCGTCGCCGACCCGGGCGGGCTTCTCCTCTTGTGCCCAGTCTCCCAGCGTCCGGCAGCGCGACGCCCTCGGCGCGGTCCCGAGTGGAAAGCCACGCAATATTCACCCACCGCCAGCCTCTCAGAAGCCCCTGGCTCGCCATTCCAGGGGGGGCGCGCCAAGGTCACCAGAATAGGCGAGACCACTTCCACCTTTACTCTCCCCAGATCCTTTCCTTTCTGAGATCCCCAGGGTCGCGCCCCTCGCCACAGTTGGGGTTCTCCTCTGGCACCCCCTCACTCCACCGGGATCCCGCCCTGCCTTCACCCTCCCGGTCCTTGTCCCTCGCATAACTCTCACTTTCTCTCCCTGGTGAGGCTCCCTGGTAAGTCTGCCCTCGGCAGCCTCGGGGAACCAGAGAGGACGCGAGACTCCCACTCGTTCAGGGGAGCGGCGAGGAAACCGACGCAAACTTCTACTGCACTTACTTCGGGCCGAGGCTGCCGCCCCCTCGCTCTCCAGGCTCTCCCACGGGCAGCTGCTCCGCGGCGACCTGGAGCCACCAAGCTCGCATTCCCCTCAGCAGCGCAGCTGTGAAATGCGCAAACCCGGGTCTCCGGAGGCCAGTGCGCCCGGGGCCAGAGTCCGAGGGCCGAGGGCCGGCCGCTGCGAACGGTGGCGAGCTGAGCGGCAGCCACCTCCGGCCGCCCGGGGATGCTGCGCCCGGCGCCTCCGCCGGGTCGTCTCTGTCCGAGTTGCAGTTGCAGTACCCGCCAGGACTGCAGCACCCCCTCTGTCCTCCCCCGGCAACGACTTTCAGTTCACCTGGAGGCTTGCGTGGCTCCCCCGCGGGCCGGCAGCGTGACAGCGGGTGCAGAGAAGAGGGAGGAGCGCGCGAGCGGCAGCTGCCCCAGGGCGCCTCCAGCTTTC